TTGCTATTTGTTCTTTAATGTTTGTTTTTAAGGCCATGTTGGAAGAGTTGATTTTTTTTTAGATAACATAAGCTCTTTAACTTCTATTTCCTTGTACTTATAAATAAAGTAGTTTTTGAAGTCTTTTCAAGACGGTGATGATTTTCAATTATTATAGCTAATTATAAGGATTCACTTAAAGTTATACCCTCAAAATAAATATTATGCCAAGATGAGTTCAAACTCTTAAACTTGATCTATAATAGTCCTTGAGTAAACAATCTTGAATTCTAAAAATTTATTGATTATGAATTTTTTTATATTTGGCCTATAATACCTTTGTATTTTTTATTGAACTATATACATCATATAGTGTATTGTCCAGTCCATAAGCTGCAGTTCTTACACATAAAATTTATGTTATTTTATGCATCCATAACTATCATAATTGTTGGATGAAATTCCTTATTTGATAGTTTTAACATTTTTTCAGCCAAGAACTTTACTAGCTCCAATGTAGTGAGATAAAATAACTTGTTTGTTTACCACATCTTGAATTTCAATCAATTGAAGTTTTTAGATTTCTCAGCATATACCATAAAAAGCGGTGGTGAAATCCTATATACTGAAGTAGTACTAACTAAAAAAATATTAGTCATGGTAATTATTTATTAAGTAGAAGTTGTGATATATTTATAAATAAACAATAACCAAGAGTTTATAATTAAAATTTAGCATATCAAATACAAGTATGAAAAAATATATATAACAACCAGAAGATGCTAAACAAATTAACAAACAAGTGTCTTATCAATTATATTAATCAGTATTTAACAATTTTAATTCAAAAGATACATGTACATCATATCAATATAATATGTATATAGATTAATAAAATTGCTTAAACATACCAAACTAAATAAGAAGTTGAACTTAAATTAAAATGAGAGATGAAAAAAAAAACTAGTTGTAGATAACTAGATGTATAAACTAAACAATTAATTAATCAGTGGCTCAAACCAAATTTTCTTTAATGTAAAAAAGCATACTAAAAAAATGGTAATATTTTAAAAGAAGCAAGAAAAAATCAATATTCGGTTCATTAACTTGATTAGATCTAATAAGTATAATTAATTTAATAATATGATAAAAAAATAGACAATAATAGTAGATAAATAAAAAAATATCAATAATTAATTATAAAAAATAAGTTGTTAATATCATAACTAATAAGAGAAAAAAGAAAAGATTGTCGAGAAACAAAAACTAAATTTAACAAAGAATGACAAATAAAAAATCATGATATAACCTAGGTCAAGTTCAAAATTAGTGAAAAATTTAAAGAAAGAAAATTAAAAAAAAAATGGAACTAATCTCCAATTAAATAAATTATGAAGAAAAAATAAAAAAACAGCTTGAGCTTAAAAAAGAAAAATAATCAAGCAAACTCAGACAAATCTCTCAAACTAGGGTTAATCTCCTACACTCCCAACTGATGAAATCCTAGACCCGATTTTAATTAAAAAGTTCACTTTCTAATAAATTTAATATTAAAAAATGAAATTTAAAAAAAATAAAGAGAAAAAAACAAAGTCAACCGGAATGAATTTCATAAACCTAGGTAGATCCTCCAAACTCACAACTCGTGAAATCTTATACTCGGGTTTAATCAAGACTTTCAATTCCCTATCAATTTAATATTCAGTGATGAAATCAGGAAAAAAAAAATTAAGAAACCCAAATAAATCTTCTAAACTTAAGTTAATCTCTCAAACTTATAACCCATGAAGTCTTAGAACCGAATTCAATTAAGAAATTTAATTCCCATAAAATTTAATATTGAGGGATGAAATCAGAAGAAAATATCGATTTAAAAAAAAATGCTGAAGCAAAAAACATAACGATTAAAGAATGAGAATCAAATTTGATAAGAAAAATCTGAAGGGGGATGAAATCATTAAAAAAATTAAAATTTACAAACTATTTAAAATAAAACAAATAAAAGAATCATTAAAAAAATTAAAATTTACAAACTGTTTAAAATAAAACAAATAAAAAAATAAGGATTAAATTTGATAGATACAAAAAATTAAAGGAGGATAAAATTTAAAAAATAATTTTATAAATTTTTTTGAATAAAAAAATAGTAACCAAATACAAAGAAAAAACAAATTAAAGAGTTACCTTGTAAATCTGGAGAGTCAGACGTGAAAATCGAGGGAAGAGAGAATAAAAAAAAAATTGTCAACTCCAAATTATAAGTCAGCAAGCAACACATGTTACCTAGGGTGGGAAGAGTAGCTGAGACAATTCCATCTTATGTACTGACTAAAAACGATAGAGTGGTTGACGCGTTGTTGTTTGCAATACACATAACAATTATTTTTTAATTATTTTTTATATTTATTAAAATATCAAATCTTTCTTTAGTCATCTTATTTATAACTACAAAATGTAGGATGAAAACACAAAAAAAAGCTCTCATATGCTAATTAAATAATTTATACTTTTAAAAGTAATTTAGTTATTTTGTTTTGTTTTAAAAAAGCAAAAAATACAAACAAAATCCTAGGCTCTAGTTAAATAAATTTTATTTTTAAGGGTAATTTAATTATTTTATTATGCTATGAAAATATAACAATACCAAATTAGTTTGTTGTGATATTATTTTAATTATAAGCATCTCACCTCTCCCACTTCACATGAGAGGAAGCCACTAATTCGGACGGATATTATCAAGTTTATTTTTTTAAAATTAATAATTTAAGTATGCTTAAGTTTATATAATTATTAACTTTAAAATTTATAAAATCAATTAAAATATATGCAAAGTAATTTGAATAGTCCTACCAATCTAAAAAAACAAAACTAAAGAGGAATTCACCACTAGTGAAAGAATGGTTGGTTCACCTTGTTTATTTGGCTTGATTGGACCCTCATGCATTGTATTAACTAGTAATAGTGAGATTGTATACCCATGCACGATTACGGGCTTATAAAACAAATATACTTGATAGTATTATAATTGTAAATCAGCACTATATAAGTAATAAAAACTAAAGGTATGATGAAATCAATATTTCATGACAGAAAAAAAATTGTGTTAGTAATAAAAAACTTAAAGAGTGAACAAAATGATTTGTAGCAATTCCCAAGAGTGAACAAAATGATTTGTAGCAATTCTCAGTATTTTGTGAGAAAAGATACAGTGTTTTTATCACATGATTTATCTTCTATGTTAATAAAAAACAAAAACAATTTACAAAGCTAAATTCTCTACCAATTTAATATTAAAAAAACCAATAAAGATAATTTTGAAAGGAAAAAAACCTATGAGAAAAAACATTATAGCAATTGACAATGTTTTGTGAGGAAAATTACAGTGTTTTCTCCAATAAAATCGATAAAAATAATTTTAGAATAAATCATAAAAAAATATTTTAAACAAATACTATAGCAATTCATAGTGTTTTGTAAGAAAAACTATAATGCTTTTCCTATATGATTTAGCTTTATTATAATTATAATTTTTAACAAGCTCAATATTAAAAAACAATTTAACAAAGATAATTTTGAAAAAAATCATATGGAAAAATACTACAACAATTTACAATGTTTTAAAGCAAAAAAATTACAAAGTTACATTTTCAATAAACTTAATATTAAAAAAAATTGACAAAGATAATTTTAGAAAAATATAACAAAAAATATAAAAAAAAAATAGTGTTGGAAACACTATAAAAATTCACAGTGTTTTGTTATGAAAACTATTGTGCTTCCCCACATGTTTTAGCATTATTTGTAATGATTTATAATTGTAATTTTCAATCAGCTCAATATTAAAAAAATAAAATTAACAAAGATAATTTTAAAAAAATTATAAGAAAAAAAACCATATTGAGAGATACTTTAATAAGTCACAGTGTTTTGTGAGGAAAGTTACAATACTTTCCCCACATGATTAAACTTTATTACAAAATTACATTCTAACCAACTTAATATTAAAAAAAATTAATAAATATAATTTTTAAAAAAATATTACAAAAACACACACAAAAAAAATCGAAAAAAAACTATGTGAAAAAGAACATTATAGTAATTTACAAGGAAAGTTATAATGCTTTTCTCAAATATTGTAAGTGTAATTTTTAACCAACTCAATATTAAAAAATAAAATAAAACAAGATGATTTTGAAGAAAATCATCAAAAAACAAAAAAAAAATTATGCGGAGAAACACTGTAGCAATTAATAATTTTTTTTAAATTACAAAATTAAATTCTCAATCAGCTCAATAGTAAAAAAATAAAATCTACAAAATTAATTTTAAAAAATAAAATAGAAAAACCATATGGTAAAACACATTAATAATCCACAGTATTTTTAAAAAAATTACAAATTTTTTTAATCAGTTCAATATTAAAAAAAGTAAAATCAACAAAGATAATTTACAAACAATAAACAAAAAAAAAGTTGAAAAATAGAAAAACAATTTTAAAAAAAATTAATAAAATAATAAAAAATAAAAATTTTAAAAAATACACTGTGAATTAATATTATTGTAATTCACAATATATTGGATGTAATATATTGGATGTAAGTGAACCATAAATCATTCATATCCTTTAACTTATTATTTAATAGGTCTAAATAAAAACAAGTAATAACTGTAAGAGTTTGATTGTAAGAGTTTGATTTTATGTTTTAAAATTATTTTTTAAAAAATAATTATTTTTTATTTTTATATAATTTTAATGTGTTAATATAAAAATAAAATAAAATTTAAAATTTTGTACTTAAATATATTAAAAAAAACACTATTTTGAAAATAGCTGGCGGAAAAGGCATTTGTGATTGATTGGAAGTAAACGGTCTGTGAGGCTGGATTGATAACACAATAAAGAACGGGGCCCCAAACCCACGCGCGTCTGTCAGCAATAATGTATCTCGTGTCATCACATCTCGACACGTGTACAATATTATTTAAATCAGAAGCTTCCTCGTCCTCACGCGAAACCTGATCGTGGCTCATCTCCCACTGCACTAAGCACGCTACTGTTCGATCTAACTCCCTTTCTATATCACTGCCTCCAGACTCCACTTTCTTCTTGTCTTCTTCAACTTCAAACAGAAACTTAGCCCTCACCCTAACTTTGGGTTCTCGTTTATTTTTTTACATCTTTTTTTTTTTCTCACTTTAATAGAGATAGTGTGAGAGAGCTATATAAAGAATGTAATATTGCACCATGTAGAGATCTCAAAAGGAATGGTGTTTTTCAATCAAGCAAATATGGAATTTGAGGCAAAGCCAAGAGTTCATAGAAGGGTCTGGTTAGTGTTTCAAAAATCAATGGGTCTCCTCGTGGGTGGGAATCATACCTCCTCCAGGTTTTGCACTCGCTAAGTCTCTTGCTTTCTCTTCGGTTGGCTTATCTCTCTCTTTTGATTCCTATTTTTTTTTTAATAAAGACTCGATCTTTTTGAAAAAAAACAAGTCTCTGAAATCTTTAGTTTGATTAAAAACTTGTCTTTGGTGCCGCTCTTGTGGTTGAAAGTGAAAGAAACATGAATTTGAAGGCCTTGAGATGCCAGATCCTTAGTGGATCCATAGCCAGGCGTGTGCTTCTACGAGCATTTATGCTTGCCACGGCTATTTCCGTCTTTCCTTTGTTGCAGATCTTATCTGGTTCTGATCCTGGATTGTTGCTTGATTCTGTGAGGTGCAATGAACGTGATTTTCCCTTTATGTTTATGGGCTCAAATTTGCTAAAGAATCGATTTTTGAAGCCAATGTGGGGCCCAATTAACTGCAAGGACGATATGAATGTGACAACTAATGTTGCTAGAGAGCTAATGGGTATGCAAATGATAGATTCTAGTGCGAAAGCTCTCTGTGTTGGTGAAGGATCGGCTCCCGCAGTTTATGCATTGCGAGATTTAGGATTTTTCAATGCTTTTGGGGTTCACAAACACCCATTCTTCTCTCTTAAGCATAAGAGGATGGTTTATAAGATTGAATATGCAGAAAATTCCTTTGATTTTGTGTTCTCAGGAGACCTGGACAAGGTTTCAGTCCCAGCCATTGTCGTGCTCGAGATCGAGCGTGTTCTGAAACCTGGAGGAATTGGGGCTATTCTTGTTGGCCTTAATAGTTTGAACGCCAATAACCTGATTAGGTCTGCCATGCCCGTGTCATCATTATTGAAGAATTCCAACATTGTACATGTTGGTTATGTCAATGAGTATACGCTGGTTGTTTTCAAGAAAAGAATTTATAGTGTTGGCTACTTTCAGCAATACCAGCTGCCAGCTGATTGCCCATCTATCATGAATAATAGACCTCATTTGGAGAATTTAGAACCTCTCACAGAGAATAAGCAAGTAGAACATGAGAAAAACATAGCTTATTTGCCCAAGTTCATTGATTTGCCCGCTAGGAAGCGGTTAGTGTATGTCGAGATTGGGGGAGGCGAGCATATGAATTCTAGTTTTTCGAGTTGGTTCTTGCCATCTTATCCCGCAGATCACAACACCTTCAATGTTTTTTTTGTCGACCATAACACCTCGGTCCTGCTTTCTTGTGTGAAAAGGCCTGGTGTTACCTTCATTTATTATCCAGGCCTTGCTGGAGATGAGGCTACTCTTGATCCTGATTTGGAAGAGTTCGATCCATCCGTGGGTGATGAAGGGTTTGATTTCCTTGCTTGGTTTAGAGAAACAGTGCAGTATGCTGACTTTGTGGTTTTAAAGATGAAAGCAGGGGAGGTGGAACTGAAATTTCTGTCTAGTTTGTTCAAAAGCGGAGCTATATGCTTTATTGATGAGCTGTTTCTCAGTTGCTCAGATCAGGACGGTGAAAAAGGCCGGGTGAAGGGAGACTGCATGGATCTCTTCAAGAGCCTTAGAAACACTGGTGTGTATGTCCATCAGTGGTGGGGAGATTAACCACCAATTGATGTGCGATGGAGTCTTGTTTTAACTGCGTGTGGTGCTTTCCCAACGTTATCGTAGTCGTGTCAAGTTTATTGTAAGAATGCAGTGGAGGCATTCAAAGTTGCTTGGTGGTTGGGCACTTAAGCTAAATAATCAACCATTGTCTTTCATGTTGTTGAATAAATTGTTGCGTGCTTTTTAAGATGCCGTCCGTGGTGATATTTCCCTTTTTGTTCTTGAAGTCTTTTGGCTGTCTTTCCCAGAATATGATACTCATAGAAGCTATTAATTAATTATTATATCATGTGATTGTGCGCCTCACCACCTTGCTTTACAGCTCATTTTCCTCGCATCAGGGCATCTCTTTGGAGGTCGTTTTCCTCGCATTTGGATTCTTGTAATCAACATCGAAGACGTAATTATTTATTCAAGGGATTCCTGTACAACTTCTGATGGATCAGTGAAAGCCTCTCATTCTCTGCTCTCCATGAATGTGCAAGAGAGGGGGATGGGACGCTTTATTTGCCCTGAGGTTGAAACGAGTCCCGTGTTCTTGCCATCTTCAGAAATTAACTTCTTACCATTTTTATAAAACGAAACCAAAAAACCTTTTGTGGAATGATAATGGTGGCAAAATGCATACCAATCATTCTGTTACCGTTTTCTGCAAGTCATTGTATCCTTCCACAACGAAATGCCTTGTGATTGTAAGGATTATGAATACCATCTATCTCTGTATTGGTATGATATTGTTCATTTTGAGTCTAAGCTCTCATGGATTTGTTTTTGGGTTATACCCAAAAGGCCTCATACCAATGGAAATATTTGTCTATCCTTATATATCCTTGATCCTCTCCATTTTTAACTAATGTGGGATTTTGGTCGCATACCTAACAATCCTTCCCTCGAACAAAGGACCACTGAGCCTCTCCTCAAATGATCATTTATCCATCCACTCTCTACCAACCAGGATTTTTTATCCTCTACTTTATCGTGTTGGGGTCAGGACACGTCTATGAAGCATCCGGAGAGCACTACCTGACTTGAGAGTTTTTGCTCTTTCTAGGTCAACTTCTCTTCACCGTGTTGAGATCAGGACACGTCTATGAAGCATCCGGAGCACACCGCCTATCCAATAGAGCTGATCCATGGATCACATCGTGATTTAATTAGTGTCCACCACCTTTTGTTCGGCATTCCGAGGATTCATCCATCATGGCTAACTCTGGGGCATGGCTCTGATACCACTTGTAAGGATTATGAACACCATCTATCTCCATATTGGTATGATATTGTTCATTTTGAGTCTAAGTCTTCATGAATTTGCTCTTGGGTTATATCCAAAAGGCCTCATACCAATGGAGATATTTGTCCATCCTTATATATTCTTGATCCTCTTTATTTCTAATTAATGTGGGACTTTGGTCACATACCCAACAGTATTTAGGCAGGATAATGAACGGATGGCCACAATCCAACACAATACTTCCCTAAAAATTTATGAAGCCAAATTCATGTTCTGTGTAGTATTCTTTTTTAGTACCTGTTATCCAAGTTGAGAATTGGGAGCCTGCTTTTTGTCTGCCTATGAATTTTGAAGACATTTTCATATTTATTCTTACGGTCAAAAATCACGTGCATTTATTATACTAAAAGAGCCGGTCTTTTTCCTCCTCCTCTTTGACTTCCTTTAGATCAATTGTTGCATGCTGTAACACCTTCAAGCTGTCACCTAGAAGTGGTGATCTTTTTGTAATTCTCAACTTGGTTTTTAAACTATTTTATTTTGCATCATTTAACTTTTTTTTAACTTGAATTAGTACTCAATTATTATTATTTTTTTGGGAAAAAAAAAGGTTGAATTGAAAGAAAAATTGCTGAAATGAAAACTAAGGATAAAATAGAGTGGTAAATTTTAAATTTATTTGAAAAGTTTATTTATACCCCCTATCTTTTTTAGTTATTAGGTAACTGATCCTTTTAATTTTTAAAAATTTAATTTTAATATTGAATTTTATTTTTCTTAATATTTAGTTATTTTTAAGTGCGAGCAAAAAGAGATTTATCGGATTCTAGCGTAGAGAGAGATTTGTCATTAACGGCGATTCTGACCATCAAAACCATTGATTTTTTTTGTTAAATAGTTTCATATAATAAGGTGAGTTGAAATTAGGTATATGTGTGTATGGTTTTTTATCTTGAAAATATCTAAAAAACATATGAGTCTTGAAAGATTTTTTGTTTTAGTTTGATTTTGGTTTCTGAGACGGTTTTATTTTGCATTTTAATAGGTAATTGATTGGTTCAACAAAATTTCTAGAGTGTTTTAAGTAAAAAAAAAAGTTAAAAAAAAGTTTATTAATGAAAAAATTAGGAACCTTGTTTTTTCTACTATTACGAGGATTCCAAAATGCAATGTCATTTTTTTTATTTTTAAATAATTAAAGACATGTGCATGAGCTATTGCTAAATTAACCAAATGTTTGATTTGGTTTACCAAGCACAACAACACTTGGTCTTTTTTTTTTTTTTTCAATGGATTTCATTAAGTTACATTTTAACTTGTTAGGTCAATCAAGTTATATAAAATTAATTTAATTTATTTAATTTAAAACCAGGTATAACCTAATGAGTCTTCAATTTTAATTGAAATAGATTAAATAATATTTATTTGAGATATTATTTTATTAAATAGAAAAATACATTAGGGATATAAGATGAAGGGCTTTTAATCAAAGAGATATCTTTTTAATTTGATTTTGGATATCTAGAATTTTTTGGGTATTGCTTTTTTATTTTTATTAAATAAAGTAAATAGAAAAAAATGTTTTTTCATTGGAAATAAAATTGACAAGAGAAGTAGAGGCTATACTAGCATATCATTTTGTTACAATAGGATATAAATTATTGGTTTTGAAGATAAGTTATTGAAAAATAATTAAATGAGAAAAATTTAATGGTTTTTTGCGGCATGAGATTATATATTCTAATTTACAATTATATATTTCTCGATTGAGTTTTTTTTATTATTATTAACAACTTTCTTTTAATATTTATTGGCTAAAAAATATTTTATTTTTTATTTTATTAAATGCATATTTTGATTTTTCATTTTGCTACTAGAATATTTCTTGATGTTAAGAAAAAACACTAAAGGCACTTGCAAATATTTTCTTCCTTACAAATTAACTTATGATTCAACCAATGTTTTTGTGTTTTATATTATAATCATTGAAATAAAATAATTATAATATTATGTGGGATATAATTGCATTAAATGTCTTTCAGTTTTAAATTTGTTTTCAAATAAGATTATAACAATATTTTATCTTAACAAATGCTTTTTTCTACTGTCCTTCATTTTTTAATTTCTTAAATTTGTTATAATTAAATAGATAAGATCATATTTAAGATATCATTTACTAGAGATCATTATATATATATATATGTCGTGATGTAGTCTAGGTTAAGTGTTGATAACTTTGTTTGTTTTGTATTTATCTAATTTTCATTTAGTTTTATTAAATATATGTATCAATTTTTTAATTTACAATTAATTTTTTTTATTAAATCTGAAAAATGCAGTAGCAATGCTCGCTAATTCATTTTTTTAAGATGAGAAAAATTAATTCCATCCACCACAATGCGAACACATGTTAACTGATGGACTATGTATCATTACAACGCACCTAAATTTACTATTGTGATACTTTTTCTTCATAAGAAATCCATCACATTTTAATTTATATAAAAGTATTATTGTAATTATTTTTTAAAATATTTTTTATTTAAAAATATATTAAAATAATATTTTTTTATTTTTAAAAATTATTTTTCATTACCTGTTATTCAAGTTGAGAAGTGGGAGCATGCTTTTTGTCTGCCTATGAATTTTGAAGACATTTTCATATTTATTCTTATGGTAAAAAATCACATGCATTTACTAAACTAAAAGAGCTGTTCTTTTTCCTCCTTTTTTACTTCCTTTAGATCAATTGTTGCATACTGTAACACCTTGAAGCTGTCACCTTGAAGTGGTGATCTTTTTGTAATTCTCAACTTGGTTTTTGAACTTTTTTATTTTGCATGATTTAACCTTTTTTTTTTTACTTGAACTAGCACTCAATTATTTTTTTTTTTGGAAAAAGGGTTGAATTGAAAGAAAAATTACTGAAATGAAAAATAAGGATAAAATAGAGTGATAAATTTTAAATTTATTTGAAAAGTCTATTTATACCCCCTATATTTTTTAGTTATTAGGTAACTGATCCTTTTAATTTTTAAAAATTTAATTTTAATATTAAATTTTATTTTTTTTAATATTTAGTTATTTTGATGTGAGCAAAAAGAGATTTATTGGATTCTAGCGTAGAAAAAGAGTTGTCATTAACAGCGATTCTGACCATCAAAATTATTAATTTTTTTTATTAAATAGTTTAATCTAATAAGGTGAGTTGAAATTAGGTCTAATAAGGTGAGTTGAAATTAGGTATGTGCGTGTGTGGTTTTTTATCTTGAAAATATCTAAAAAACATGTGAGTCTTGAAATTTTTTTTATTTTAGTTTGATTTTAGTTTCTGAGATGGTTTTATTTTGTATTTTAGTAGATAATTGATTGGTTAAACAAAATTTCTAAAAGTGTTTTAGGTAAAAAAAAAAAGAGTTAAAAATGATTTTGTTAATGAAAAAATTAGGAACCTTGTTTTTTCTATTCTTATGAGGATTTTAAAATAACATGTTGTTTTTTCATTTTTAAATAATTAAAGACATGTGTATGAGCTATTGCTAAATTAACCAAATGTTTGATTTGGTTTACCAAGCCAACAACACTTGATTTTTTTTTTTCCAATGGATTTCATCAAGTTGCACTTTAACTTGCTAGGTCAATATCAAGTTATATAAGTAATTTATTTAATTTAAAATCAAGTATAACCCAATGAGTCTTCAATTTTAATTGAAATAGATTAAATAATATTTATTTGAGATATTATTTTATTAAATAGAAAAATACATTAGGGATATAAGATGAAGGGTTTTTAATCAAAGAGATATCTTTGAAATTTGATTTTGGATATTTAGAATTTTTTGGGTATAGCTTTTTTACTTTTATTAAATAAAGTAAATAGACAAAAATGTTTTTTCGTTGAAAATAAAATCGACAAGAGAAGTAGAGGCTATACTAGCATATCATTTTGTTACAATAG